TATCAGAAAGAATTGCTGCCATAACGTTATCACTAACCAGCTACAAAAAAGAATGGAAACTTATCCAAGCATATGCACCAACAGAAAACGCCTCCACAACTGAGCTTGAAGACTTCTACACTCGGCTATCTACATACATCGAACAATACCACCACTGTCACCTAGTGGTAATGGGTGACTTTAACTCTCAAGTGGGCGTGAGGCAAAGGGGAGAAAATCTTAACATAGGAGAATTTGGATTTGGTAAGAGAAGTAAAAATGGTCAGATGCTTACTGACTTTTTACTTGAACATAATCTATCGCTGCTAAATTCATTTTACAAGAAGAAAAATAAAAGCAAATGGACCTGGATCTCCCCAGACGGGAAAACAAAAAACGAAATAGATTACATATTGACAAATAATAGGAGAGCTTTCTTAAATACATCAGTAATTCAAAACCTAAACTTCAATACTGATCACAGAATGGTAAGAGCAGTCTTAAACAGAAAGAAACCAAAAAACACACGTCGAAATATTAAAAACAACGATCAACTCATTGGCTAAGCTTCGGAAGAACTAAAAGGCACCTTAAAAGCATGTGAAATAAGTTTTAACACTGAAAATATCATGAATATTACAACAAAGTAGAAACACTACTAAAAAGCAATGTTATATCCAGCACAAATAGACCTAAGACAACTTTAAGCGAACACACATGTAATCTATTGACTAAAAGAGAATCGCTACTTTCGTCAACTAGAAAAGACTACAGGAAAATAAACCAACTAAGTAGAAACATAAGAAAAAGCATCAAGAAAGATAGGAAAAACAGAAGGTTAAGCGTCTTGGAGAAACACATTATTGACACCGGTGGAGTGAAAAAAGCATTAAAAGAACTGAGAAGCTAAAGAGTGGATCCCAAAAATTGGCAAACAAAATGAAATCAAGCTAAGAAGAAGAGATATTATTGAAGCAGCTACCCAATTCTATCAAGAACTGTATTCTGATGTAACTTTCTCAAAGATATCCAGAGAATCCTACGGCACAGAAGAAGACGAAAACTATGTACCACCTTTATTAAATAGAGAAATAGAAGTAGCAATAGAAAGCCAAAGGTTAGAAAAGTCACAAGGACCAGACAGAATTCCCAATGAATTACTAAGAGGAACAATCGAAGAAATAACTCCAATTCTTACTACTATTTTCAACAAAATATTAAATAATAAAACCATACCAATACAATGGACAGAAGCTCACATAATACTTATACACAAAAAAGGTTCCAAAGATGACATTAACAACTATAGGCCTATAAGCCTCATGTCCAATGTTTATAAAGTTTTTGCCAAGGTAATATTAAATAGAATTAGTCAGATACTAGATGAGAATCAGCCTATAGAACAAGCTGGATTCAGGAAAAATTATTCAACAATTGACCACATTCACACTATTAAACAGATCATGGAACGATATAACGAATATAACAAATCTGTATATATTGCTTTCATAGACTACTCAAAAGCCTTTGATAGTGTAAGCCACCAATCTATCTGGTCAACTTTAGCAAAACAAGGAGTATCCGGAACATATATTGCGGTTTTAAGAGAAATCTACCAAAACAGTTCAGCAAAAATAAAGTTAGAATCACTAGGCAAAAAAATCGACATAAAAAGAGGAGTAAGACAAGGGGATCCACTGTCACCGAAACTTTTTTCTGCTGTTTTTGAAGATATTTTCCGCAAGCTCCACTGAGATGAGTATGGGTTAAAGATAGATGGAAGAAGGCTAAGTCATCTAAGATTCGCAGACGATATTGTGATCTTCGAAGAAGACCCGAGGCTCCTGGAGAGAATGATTCAGGAATTAACCAAAGAGAGCCTAACAGTTGGACTAAAGATGAATCCTGATAAAACTAAACTTCTAACCAACTCATCCAAAATTGCTATTCAAGTCGACAATATCGCTTTGGAGTATGTGCAAGAATATATCTATCTTGGTCAAATTATTTCAGCCAGAGATCAAACTTCTAAAGAAGTGAACTCACGGATAGCCAATGGATGGAAGAAATATTGGAGTCTCAAGGAGATAACCAAAGCTAGAGACCTAAGCATATCACTGAAGAGAAAAGTATTTAATACTTGTATCCTGCCATGCATGACATATGGATGCGAAACTTGGTCACTAACAAAACAACACCGAGATAAGCTCGAATACTGTCAAAGAGCTATGGAGAGGAGTATGTTAGGAATAACAAAGAAAGATAGATGGAAAAACGAAGACCTCAGGCGGAAGACCAAAGTAACTGACATCCTGACCCGAATAGACCAACAAAAATGGAGATGGACAGGCCACATGATACATAACCAATCAGAAAAATGAAGTAAAGTTGTTACCAACTGGTACCCCAGAGATGGAAAAAGAAGCAGGGGGCAAGTTGCTAGATGGGCAGACGAGATTAAACAGACGGTGGGAGTTCACTGGAGAAGAATAGCCCTAAACAGATCTGAGTGGCGAAGATTGGAAGCAGCATTTCTCCAAAGATTCGAGCATCGGCTGGACATCCTGTAGAGGCTGGGGGAGGCCTTGTGTCACTGACACGCTACGTTTACAACAAAAGACGAAAAAACAAAAAAAAACTAATTTTCAAACAAATTTTGTAAACTGGTAGCTTTAATAAAGGCTTTTTTATTTTTATTTTATTTTATTATTTTTATTTTAATTATCTATTTGATATCCAAGTATAGAAGACTGATTATGGAAAGAGAGTAATTATTATTTTCATTTTGCTTAATGATTTATAAAATTCAAAATTTGTTTTTAACCATAAGTGGTCATTATTTTTATTATGGGTTGCTATTTAATTTCTTTTATATAATACAGGGAGAAAAAACAGCCCTTGCTGAGTTTCTTGCCGGTTTTTCTCAGTACAAGGTCTCCCGCCGTAGATTTGCGAACCGATGGCGTAGCTTTTCGACATTCACAAGTGCTTGTAACAGTCTCGACTGAATAAACGATATTGAATTTTGAAGAAAAAATTTTTCTGACGAAATTCTTTTACTATAGAAAGAAAGTTTTATGTTCCTGAGTAGATTCTAATCAATTAATTAAAGTTTCATTTACTACAAAAACTGGTTTTTGTGTGCTACTTACTTCGACTCTACACCCTTTTCAACGTACTGAAACATAATTATATTTGCATTTAACGCCCAAAGTACTTTTAAACGTATTAAATAAAATCACATGTGTATTGCCTTCAATACCCAAAGTACTTTTTTTACGAATTGAATTTTGATCCTATTTGTTGTTCAAAAATGGCCTTTAGGATCCTAATAAGCTGCCAAAGAAATTTCATCTATATTGCACAACCCTAAGCACCTTAATATATTTGGCAAAGTTTGGGTCTGAACGACAATAAAAATTTAGGATTTAAAAAAGGACCTTGGGTTATAAGACATGATTAGCACTAAATGAAGTTGGGCGTTACGAGGATACATAATTAATAACAGAATAAATTAAAAAACAAAACCACTGGAGTCTGTGAGAGTGATGACCTTCACCACTTGTGAAGAAAAAAGTACACAGACTCACAAAGGTCTCACATACATAATTAATAACAGAATAAATTAAAAAACAAAACCACTGGAGTCTGTGAGATTAATGACCTTCACCACTTGTGAAAGGGAACCACTGATGACCTTCACCACTTGTGAAGGAAACTATTTTTAAAGCCACCCTCTAAAGTTACCTCATACAGGCCAATAAGTCTTCTTCCTATACTGTCTTAAGTTTCTCTAAAGCTAATTCTATGGCGCCTTCATCCAATAATGGAGAAGAAAAATCTATTACCAGATCAGCAATTTGGCCTTCGCAAACAACATGGTACTAAAGAACAGTTACATCCTGTGTTTTATACAAACCAGCAAACTCTGGAAAAAAGGAATACTGTTCTGCTGTCTTCCTCAACATACAATAGGCTTTAGACTGCATTTGGCATAAGGGTCTATTATGTAAATTAAATCTTAGTCTACTACACGATGCTTACATGCTTCCGAGGTTTCTTTACATACAGGACAAACAAATATGTTCCAGGTCAAAAGCGGAGATGCAGTTTCAGACATTTGTGAAATAGATGCCGGGATTCCTGAAGGTTTGGTTTTAGGCCCGAGGTTACACACGGTTTACACTGCTGCTCTACCATCTTCTGACAAAGTTATGACTGCAAATGCTGATGATATTGTGGTGCCTCACATAATAAACATCGTAATGTGGGATCTACCAAACTCCAAGCACATCTAGATAAAATTGGGTTGTGAGGAAAAAAGTGGAGAATCAAAGCTAGTGTTACCAAATCTGTTCATATAACATTCATATTAAGAAGAGGTAACTGCCCAGAGGTGAAACTTGATGGGACCTTTATGCTTCAGAACACAACAGTAAACCAGTAAGTACCTTGAAATGCAACTAGATAGAAAACTGTCTTGAAAAGATCATTAAAGCAAAAAGAGATCAGGCAACCAAGAAGCTCAGTAGTATGTATTGGCTGGTTGGCAGAGAGTCTTCACTCAGCTTGGAAGCCAAGCTTCTCATTTATAAAACCAGTGTGGATATATAGCATGGACTTCTGGGGATAAGCAAGACATCTAAATTCTTCAAAGATTCCAAAACAAAGCATTGAAAATGTTGTCTAGTGCTCCATGGTATATAAAAACCAAGAAGTACATGAATACAAAGATATTCCTACTTTGTAGGAACAGATAGATAAATCCTGCAAGTACTACAGACAAAGATTGGAAGAACATTAAACTCTGCAATACTAATGGCATAGTATCTTGATTAAAGAGGACAAAACTAGCTTCTTTATAAAGCTACATTTCATTTGAGATGACACATTTCTGGGTGTGTTTGGTGTCTTATCTCAGGGAAGATCTTCAAATTTAATTATAATATAAAACAACTACTGATAAATGTGAATAGTTTTTCTCTTTCTTCTAATTTGAAACATTTGAACTGAATACTTACACATTAACTTCAGACTGAGTGAATCTTTTTAAAACTGCATCTCTTTTGTTTTTGTCTAAGGCAGCTGACAATTCAGCAACTTTTATATTTCCTTTTGCCCATGTATTGAGGAGAATTGTAAGTCTATGAGCAGTTTGAGCTGCATTAGTAAAACATAGCACCTTGTCCCACTTCTGGTTTACCAAGAAATGATAGAGAACTAGAGGTTTATGTTCGGTTTCACATGCCACAAATTGCTCTTGCAATTCAGCAGGTGTGGTATATTTTCTAATATGATCATCATCTTCATACATGTCTTTTGGTGCTGTTGAAAATAGTTTTGGCTGAAATAAACCCCATTGCTCTAATTTCTCTGGATCTTGAGATAAAGTTGCAGAAAAAAGTAACTTATGAGGTAAAGATTTTTGCTGACAAACTGTGTCCCAATTCAAACTGGGTACCTTGCCTGTCATAACTTCATTCTCCAGTTTTATATGTTTATCCATATGATACAACCAGTCATTCTGAATGTGTTCCATAATTCTGTCAGCTTCATCAATGACTAAAAATTGCAAATATTTTAATGAGAAACCTTCTGTATTCTGAAGATGTTCTACCAGTCGTCCAGCAGTACAGACTATAATATCTACTTCACTTATCCAGCCGAATGATTCAGCTGGAAAATAATCAGTGATATTTATTATATTTTTGTAATTAATGATAAGATCATATTATAAACATATTTTAAAATCATTATTTTATTATAAAGAAAAAAATCAACTATTAGAATAACATTTACATACTGTGCCGAACAATCTGTTGCTGTTCTTGATGTAAGGTAGTAGATCCACTTAACAAAGCCACCTTAAGTCCAGTCCGACTGCAATACTTCCTAAATACTTTAGCAATTTGTGCTGCTAACTCTTGCACAGGTAGGACTACCATTGCTCTTATATGATGACCAGTTTCCTTCATTAGTAACTGAAAATAAAAATAGATGTTTAAGTTGGTAGTTCCCATTAAAGTACTAAACTAACTCTTAAGATGTCACCTCCACAAGCTTGCTGTGTTTAGAATTATCGACTGGTTGAAACACACAGATCAAAACATCGAGGTTTCATATAAATACAAAAAACACAGAATTGTGTTACTACCTTATCCCCTCAGGTGATAGTTGTCATGGCGCCGTCTTACGTCAAAGTGATTACGTCATCCGTCAACCCCCCGCTGGGTGGGAACGATTGCATTGTTTTGCCGATTTCTCTTTTATTTCGTAAGAATACCCCACACAAACTATATATATTTGGATTCTTCATAAAATTTACTATAAAACAGTGTCTATACAATGCGTCATGTCTATAATCTATTTTAATTACGTTACGGTAAACTCGGGAAAGATAAAAAAAAGGCGTTCAGATGGGTTAAATGGAGTATATCTTTAAAATTTTAAAATTTCATGTCCAGGTTTTTTGGTTATTTGCACATTCTATTATAACTTACCAAATAAAAACATAAAATACCATAATCGCACAATTTAATTTTACACTATAGCTCTGACAACCACGTGCTAATTGTGTAAACAAAGACGCGTCACAAAAAAAAAGGCGTCGGGTTTCGCCTCGGCGATAAGCGCAGACGGGCAGCCTGAGTGCCATGATTTATGGGTTTACGGTTAGCTAAGATTGTAAACATCACTTTAGAAACAAGTGTGGCATGAATAGTACTTTGTTTTTTTATAGTTCTAAGAACTTACAACAAGGCATTTTAAAATCGCCTACAAAGCAGTCATCTCAGTTTTATGTCGATAAAACGAAAAGTATTTACAATTTTGATAAACAGTTTCTATTTTCAAAATGTACATTAAATTTGCTTTAGAATAAACAAAAACTAATCACTAGTTCGCATACAAAGAAAATAATATGAAAAAATATTTCGTTCCAATATTTGAATTTAGAACGACCGTTACACTGCGCGGCTTTTGTTTTTTTTTATTTCTTCAAAAATACTAACGCAAGAGATTCTCTGTATTCGAAATATTAATCATGGATAATGTATTCAATAATTATAAATTAAAACATTACAATTATTATCGAAATTATCACCATGAAAACATAAGACACAAACCCTTTTTTTTATTGTTTTTTTTTTACGAGGGATGTAACAAAAAAATTATAAAAAAAAAACACGTAAACCCGCACACGAAACATCAAAATAGAGTAACTTAATGTATTTAACTTGCCCAGAGATGGTGTTTTTTAAAAAAAAAACCACTGAAAAACACTTTAAATAGTCTGAATACACGGCATATTTTTTTTCATACAAAAAACGGCGAACAACGAACTTCCACAGACAACAGTATAAATATTTCATATGGCAGTTGACTTAATCAATGGCTAGATAGCTAGCCTGTTCTTTCCTCTACAAATTGATATAAGCATGTAGGTGATAGCAATAAGAAGGAATATTTTAATTGCCACTGATTACGTAGAGTCGCGCGATGCCGAATGTCAGCATGTCATCACTTGACGGATTATTAACAGATGCCGAAAGTCGGGATGCCATCACTCGAGGGGTTATGATGTGATCCACTTGGAGAGCAGTAAATATAGAACTTATTACAGTTACAGTAGTTTAATTATACTCACTTGTACTATAGGTAATACAAAGGATAGAGTTTTTCCACTCCCAGTTGGTGCTGATACACATATATCATGTCTCCATAAACAGTTGGGAAATTTGTGTTCTTCAAGGATAAAAGGGATCACTTGAGCTTGTACAGGGAATAAATGTGTTATTCCTTCACTACTTAATATTGATTTAAGTGTGTTATGTAAATAAATTTGGTCTTCTAATGGAATCAATTGAGTCTGCAAATCCCTTGATATACTGTATGGATGTGATAACCAGTATGGCAGTATTCTTTGCACCTATTAATAAAATAAAACAGAAGATTTAAAAAAAATATGGTATTTTAAAAACAAAGTTTTAAAGTACACAAATCTTGTTCATAATAATTTGTCAATAACTATTATTTTTTACAGAAGCATAGATTGTCATAATTATGGTAACAACTTGATAATTACTTTAGGATTTTTCTTAAATTCATTTCCACCTAGAACTTTAAATTCTTGATGTACTTGTCTCATAGGCTTTAATTTTGTCTCGTCAGAAATTATGTTTACAACAGGATCAGTCTCATTATTTTCAATTTTATTATTCTCTAAATCATAATTATCAATGTCATTGAATGGTATTTCATCAGGTTCTGCACCAACATCAGATTTCCTTATGTTTAAGTTTGCTTTTTTCCTTTCATCAATTTTTTTCTTCAATTTTTCTAGGTGTATAGCTTCCCGGTTTGTAGCATCCTGCTCATCAGGAGTTTCTCTATATCTAAAAATACATTACATATAAAATAACATTACCCAGTTCGAAATTTTATAAAGGGAGACAGTGTTCTACAGTTTGACTACGGTAAATTAGCGTACCTATTGATGACAAATAAATCCATTGTACATCGATTCAGCAGGTAATTCACGTAGATAGTTTAATAGGATTACTTCTTTTTCTTATTTTATGGCATGCGGTTCTCGATGGCCTTTTTATCTTCACATTAACACTGTTCTTTTTTTTTACACATTCATTAAAACTCAGAAGACTCATATTCCATTATAAAAGAAAATTGAAAAACCTAAATGCATCATGCATGGCATAACCTCCAAATTGTTGTTTTTTTTTGTTGAAGTTCTCCCGTTTTAGGGAAGGCAAAGGGAACAATGCCCATACAGCCTGGTCTTTAATTAAATTAATCTTCTTTTTGTTTTTACATTAGAATGTCGGTGTGACGCATTCTAATGTTTCTTGGAGTGTTTGGCACGAAATGTATCGAGTTGGCTTTTTCGATAAGCTTTTGTGAGGTAGTTAACACTACAATAAAATTCTCACGTCCACTTGACCGGAATAACGTATATTTTAATGATTCCACTAATTCTTTAGTTACGCAGACAGTTACACAAAAACACACCAATTTTATTTCACAATATCCACTATGAACGAATTTAAGAATAATTAAAATAAGACGCCAACCGCACTCGATGAAATCCCGCCAAAAAAAAACTTGATGTTGCTTTTTTTTTAAGTTCAATTCTTCCCTAATGGGAAAGGCAAAGGCAGAGCCATGCAACCATCGTCTTATTTTAGTATTAATCTTAGGTAGTTTTCCAATTACAGAGCATAATGCAACTCAGTGGCCCACAATGCCGATTTATGCTGATGCGATTGGAACGTGAATTAGTTTTCAAATGCACCAGTAGACTGCGCTTAGTTCAGTGTTGAAAAAAAAAGTCGATGTTTGTACCTTCATCCCACAGACATATAACTAGTAGCAGACGGAACATTCAGTTTTAAACAGCGTGGCAAATACACACACATTGAAACTCACCAAAGCATGGGCCGCATTTAGAATAATGGATTTCATTATTGTTTCATGAAATACCTATCCGAATAGATAGGTCCTAATGTGATGTCCATGCTAATAATATTATAAATGTAAAAATCTGTCTGTTTAATATCTTCATGGCGAATTTAGCCAGGCGAAATCGCAGAACCGATAATGATGAAATTGAGCACGGAGATAGAATTAACCCAGGGAAAGGACATAGGTACAATTAGGAAAATTGAAATAAAAATTTAAGGCATAGTTTTTATCTATTTATTTTGAAATAATACAATTTTTTTTAGAAAATTTCTCTGAGATCCATTTGTTTTTTTACATTGATGTTTACCTAAGATCAAAATAAAATTTGACAACAACCTTAATAAGCAAGTGGACATGGTTTATGTCATGATCTGGATTGTTCGAGTCAAATATTGAATAATCACATATGAATTTAATCAAACTGTTAAAATCATTACTTTTGTTTATTTTAAAACAAAAAACACTTAAACACAATAAGTATTTGGTTGCCAATCCTGAAATTTCATATATTTTAACCATGCATTCCAAGTACTTTCATCCTTTGGAAACCTAGAACAAAATTGTTTATGTGGTTATTTGGGTATATACCCACCGATGCCAATGTTCCAAGAAATATGAATAGCTAGTCTGTAATAGGAACCTATCTATTTACGTTCTTGATATCATTCACATTCAAAATACAATGCAATGCAAACAAAATTAATGCCGAGAAACTTTTTGTCTTTGATACCGAGTCCGTCCTCTGTTATGGCAACAGTACTTCAGTTGTCAGAATTGGAATTTCCTATCATGATTTATCCTAATTACTTCTATTTCTTTACTTTAGGATATTAGTTTTCACCGGTAGTATCTTAGATAAATAATCCTACGTAAAAAATGTTACATGTTACGATAATATTTAAATAAGCTTCGAAAAGACTCAAGACATTTCAGTACACAACAAAGACACATAAAAACTTACTGATGAAACGTTAATCCTGGTGTTCTATTGTAGATAGCACTTTCACATCGATACGCACTGTACTTGACCATAGTAATTGAATAATCTCGTTTTGTAATATAGTTTCATCAAAGCAATATTCATAATAAACACCGAAAAGTCGCATGTCCGATAAGTCATGAATAAAATGGCGGCGAGGAATAAAAATGACACGCGTTGACATTTGTTGATGTGTGAGTCAGTATTGCAATAGATGGAAGAATGAGATGCCACTATCGAGTTGTAGCTGAGTACAAAAGGGAAAAAATATCATGTTTTGATTCATAAATATAACTAGGTTTTATGTTCCGTCTGCTATAGTATTATATGTCTGTGCTTCATCCATACTTATATTTATTTTTAACACAGTTTGAATTAACTATGATTATTTAAAAAAAACTACAATGAAACGAAAGCTTTAAAACAATCAACAATAAATAATATTACTAACGATAATAAATAAATAAAACATTTTGATCAGTGCCAACTTGAAAAAAAAACTTGTTAATTTTCTGTCACTGAGTTGGTACGACTGCACGCATCACACGAAAACATTACTTTTGAGAGTTCTCGATTGTGGGAAGCGTTGCTGTTTGCTGTAGTTGCTGTTGAAACATTCAACGATAGGCATTATGCCGTATAATGCACTGTAGTGCTGTAATTGGAAAACTACCGTATACATTACATGACACTTCCCTTGGCTATTCGTATTAGTTATTTGTAAACTTGACAACAGTCTGTCATTACCATACTTTTTGGGGAACGAAAAAGACAGACCAATGTCAACTTTACAAATAGCAAACACGATTAGCCTTTAGCCAAGGAACTTATATACTAACTGGAATGCTTACGAAACAATAGGGGAATTTTAAGAATGTACTCTAAATAGTTATACATAAATTCCATTTTTGTTTCTACCTTCATAAAACGGAAAAATACTCCGAGCGGGACAACGATGAAAGTGGAATTTGTACCTCTCTTGCAATTGTCAGTGTTAATAAAAACAATCAAATGGTAGTTTTCACATTATCCCGATAACCATTTATAAGAACAAGAACGTGCAGTTTGAGTGTTTACAAACATAATCAAATAAACCTATTACTTACTTATATTAAAGAGTAAGATATTTATAACTAAAAATCTTAAAATATATAATAACTAAAATACATTATTAAAAGGAGTCCCTTTAGGCAAGGTTCCAAAGACTGAGCTGGCTGAGTTCCTCCTTTGAATAGCTAGACTAATTCTTTGTCCGTGGTAGCTGCCAGCTCTTCGGTCTCCCGTGATGTCGACCAACCTTTTTGCTATTTCCTTAAAAAGCCTTACAGCGCTAGGACCCTAGTTTGAGTGTTAAATTAGCATTTATGTTTGATTGCAGTTATATATAAATTAGGAATCAATAAAGAGTGAATACTTGCGTACTCTGTGGTACTTAGGGTTTCTAGATTGGGAGTGTTTATCCTTATTTTGGGGAAAAATACTAACTTGGGTAAATTAAATCTGCGGGGAGAACTTTAGGAATCATATTTTTTCTTAGAGCACGCAAGTAATTTTTTTTGGCAAAAGGTTGAGGAAAGTCAGCTCTTCTAAAATGAAGTTCAAATATAGGTACCAACTAGATTTTAGTACCTAACAAGTCTATTGAGGATGATAAGTGACGAAAGACCGTGTCGAGTCCGAGCCGAGCTTGAGCCATAGCACGGTCACCGAGCCGCTCCCGTACCTGTAATTTACAAAGACGGGCCTCGACCGAGCAATTGGTAGTGTGGCGGCGACATCTATATGCCCCACATGTAACTAACATGGAGGAAATAATCACTCGCCTCCTCAAGATGGCGCTACCGGCGCTGCGTTCACAACGTCAGGAAGCCTACATCGCGCAAGTGAAATTCGGTAGCCAACAGTTCATATATACGATGCCCGAACAACATCAGTCGGGCTGCGGCCCCCGAGCTAACATCACCCAGCTCGGAGGAAGATCTTCCCCTTTAGCCTTCCTACAGTGGTGACCCTCGACTGAGCACAGCAGCAGCAAGAAGCAACCTTCAACCATCGCAGCGCAACCATCATACCTCATACCCCGTCCTCATCAGGTCAAGCAACATCAGCAGTCACACAGCAAGCCAGCATCAGCCTCAAGGTTCCATCGCAGCTCTCAACGACGCTTCCTGGACCTTCGGCAGCACTCGACGCCATCATCCCGACCTGGTCTCCGCAGCCCACGACCGGTATCTCACTTGTCGGCCGCAAGAACACCGGCGTGGCAGCCCTGCACACCAGCAGCTCGGACCCACCGTCACACTCCACCTGTCTCGACTCACCGTAGACTGGAGCAACTCTGCAGCACTGGCGACGCGCCTTCACCCCACCCGTCTCGACTCACCGCAGACTGGGGCATCCTGCATCACACTGGCACTTGCAAGCTCTGACGCACTGACTGCTGAAAAACACTGACTGTCGACCTCCGGTCTCGGAGGGGAGTGATGTGGCGGCGACATCTATATGCCCCACATATAACTAACATGGTGGAAATAATCACCCGCCTCCTCAAGAGATGGCGCTACCGGCGCTGCGTTCACAACGTCAGGAAGCCTACATCGCGCAAGTGAAATTCGGTAGCCAACAGTTCATATATACGATGCCCGAACAACATCAGTCGGGCCGCGGCCCCCGAGCTAACATCACCCAGCTCGGAGGAAGATCTTCCCCTTTAGCCTTTCTACAGTAGGTACCGTCGCGCCGTGATGCAGTCTACTCCATACAGAAAAGTAATATTACTCTCTACTCATACAGTAATTTAAGTACAAGTAAATAGAGTACCTATATGTACTCGTCCGAGCATAATCGTTTTTTTTTTGTCTGATATATCACTACGATTGCCCGGCGTGTGCTTTATTCATGCAACGGGCCGTGGCCGGGCCGAGGCCAAGTTTTTTCCGAGCGTTGTTCGTTTGTTGCTCGGTTGTCAGTCGGTTACCGCCCGGAATAGGGTGAATGTGTCCATAATCCATGTAAAATATACTATTTAATATTAGTTAACTCTGCTATGGCCGACACGACCTAACGATTTTGGAACATAAGGTCTAACGTGAATTATCATTAAAATTTCTCGCATCGTTGATTCGCAATCCAGCGCATCTATCTAATACCTAGATACCTATGGTTATTAATTTCGGTTTCGGTAAAAGGTTGTAATTATCCCCTCGGCTGTTTTTTGAATATTTTGTTCTCATCATCATCATCATCATGTTAGCCCACTGCTGAGCATAAGCCTCCCCCAAGAATCTCCACACCGATCGGTCTTGTGCCACTCGCATCCATCGGCTTCCCGCGACCTTCACAAGATCGTCGGTCCACCTTGTAGGGGGCCTGCCCACTGAGCGTCGTC